AAAGAGTGTATTATTTAGCTATTAGATTTCACTGGTCCGTTAATGACTAAACTCGGGGTGTTTGAAAACTATGAATGATTTCAGTAGGATGGTGCTTGGGACAGAAATGGAGTTGGTAGAGTGATCCATATCTTGAATAGACATGCCCATATACATTAGTCCACCTATGGGATTGCCAGCTTTTTTCATACAGTTAAGCTGGAGAATATTCACATTTTATTTACTCACATACAGTAATTTAAATTAAATAGTTTGGAAAATTCATTGCATTTTAGATCCTCCCGCAATATACATTTCACGTCATTCATTACCTTGTGGGCCATTTGCGATCACTTTTGTTTATTTTTATTTTTTTTAATTATGTTTATGTTTTGGTTGAAACAAAATATGTTTGACATGTTTTATTAAGATATGGTTATTTTTTAAAACACTCGAGATAATTTTTACTTGTTTTGTATGTTTTCAAAAACATATATATTTGTTTTTAGAATATATATATATATATATATATATATAGAAACACACTAAGCAAACATGTATTTAAAAACAAAGGAAAGAAAAAAAAAATAACAAAATTGATTCGAAAAAAGCCATAGGAAAAAAACACTTCATATCACTTTTTATTTTTGTTTTTGATTTTATCTTTTAAAAATTGAACAAAACATGTTTAATTAGTGTTTTATAAGTTGTTTTTATTTTTTTTATTATTTTTGAAAACAAACTAAATTCTTTTTGAAAACACGCAAAAGGCAACCTTTTGGCCAACCCCACACGCACCACTGGCCATGCCTGTTCTAGCTGCCAAACAACAAAATAAATCAACTTATGTAAAATAAAAAAAAATAAAAAAAAGGCTACATGTCTGATATGAAACATAATCTTATTTCATATAAAAATTTGAAGATAGCAAAATTAAAATAAAACAAATAGGGATCCCAAATGATCCATTTACTATCTGAATGTGTTGAAAGCCAAAGCTTATACAATAATGGCATATGACCCTCTCCTTTGACATGCGCAGATGTTGGATACGAACGAGGCAGAGGAGGAGGTGGGAGAGGCTATGCCAACGGACGAGGTAGGGTGGGCGGCCGCGGGAGGGGAAATCAGGTCTTCTAAGGAGTGTAGATGGGACTGAGCTGTTCATGTGTGAGATATGGCTGCCCTCCTCCTTCATCATATTCCTTTTGATAAAGAGGAGGGGTATGTTTCCATTATACTGTAAGTACTACAAGCCCTGTATGGTTTCTGAATGTACTGTAGCATAATGGCTGCAATGGGTTTCTACCTTATCCCATTGCCATTTAAGAGTTCCAGTGCGTGTATTCAATATCCACAAATTTGCATTCTTTTTTTATTGTTTACATCATATAATGTTTATGGATATCTGGGTTTAAAGGTATACACATTCTTTGTTTTTTCACTTCCATGCATTATTTTTGTAGTTGTTTGCATCATTCTTTTTTAATATGTTTACCAAGTGATTTTTTGATGTCATTGCTTCAAATTTAGACAAGCAAATGTGTTGAATTATAGTCAATAAATATTTTGCAACTTATTGTTAAAATTTTAATATTGAATTTTCATGGCATTTATTTTGATCAACTTGATGTTAAAAACAAAAGGGTTAGGTCCATACCTCTCAATTCTTATGCATTTGCATATCAAAAAGATCTGAAATTCAATTTTTATATGCATACCACCTTTGCTTGTGCACTAGAAAGTGTATTTAAAAAAGTTAAAGTAGTGTTAGAAAGGAGGAAGATTTACATAAGTAACACTCAATCCTTATGCATTTTTCCTTTCTTAAATCATCAATTTTTCCATGCAGATCATCTTACTTGTGCAAAAGAAAATATATTTCATATTTAAAAAATTAAAATGATGAGCATTTTTATGTGTTATGAATGATCTGAGTGGTATAAATATAAAAAAAAAGTAAAGTTTAGGTGTTAGAAATGTAAATAAATACGAATTGGGTGCTCCCTACAAAGCTTCAGTTGATTGCTTGAAGCTAGAGAGCCTGTTTGGAGTATGACAAAGCTATAATTTAAAATAATTGTCTTAGCTGTAGACCTCCACTTTGGGTTACAACTTATTTAATCTCTTTAATTTTACAGTAAGAAATCGGCACGAAGGGATAGTAATTGTGCTGAACCTTTCCTTATTATTACTTTTTCTTCAGTAATTGTGTGCTCTAAACTTCGTTAATGATAGCAAAAAAAACTAATCTTAGTTCAACAGGAATATCGAGCACCAGATGAATAGAAATCATTAGAGATAATATAATTTTTTTGGAATATTGATTTGTTGAATGATAATGTAAATAAAGTGACAATGGCTAAACATCAATAGTCTGAAGGTAGTAATGGCGCTGCAACAATTGTATGACAGTAATTGGGCTTTAAAAGTGGTTGGTAGTGGTGCTAAGTGATGATTGTTGATTGTTGTTAGCTTCCAAGTCTCTTCATGAGCTCAAATTTAGCTCTCACCTTTACGCTACCTTCTTCATGTCGAAACTTAATCGTACTTGTATTTAGCCACACTCCATCGAATAATCTATATTAATTTGTTTGATCATGAAGTATTCTTTCTATGACCAAGTGCCTAAATGATTTCAAAATTAAATGAACTTTTGGCTCATTAGTTTTCTCAATAAACATGCTGATTGGGCTATAAGCATGTCAAATTCAATGATTATTTGAGTTTTCAATTAATGCTTTGATTTAATGAACAAAATATAACTTCATTATTATCTACGATTTATCATCTTTCATTTAACATTCTAATGCCAAAATCCACGTGAATAAAATTTTTAAAATTTTAAATTAATATTATGAAAATTTAAATTATGTTTATCTAATCTATATTTTTTTTTCCATACTATAAATAAAAATAATAAATTTATCACAGCAAGTAATTATAAAAATTATCATATTAATGCAAGAGAGAAGTATTTTTTAATAATCGTAGTTGACAAAACATATTGGTATAAATTTATAAGTTGACATAAAAAAAAAAATCATTTTCTTCTTCCTTGGTTGAATTTGCAGTGCTATAAAAACAATCAAATCACTTTTGAAATGAATCCTAAGAATTCCATCACAAATGTGGCATTTTAGTTTTATATAAACTATATAAATTCAAAAAAATAATAAAAAAAAAACATTTAAATCAAATAATAATGTTTGTGTTTTGAGAATAATAATTATTCTGCCCACCAAATAACTTGAAACAATACTGTTCAAAAAGCCATTATTTTATACTTTACTACTATAAACATAATTAGAAGCTTAGCTTAAAATATGAGTCAAGCTAACTATATATATATGAAATAAAAAATTTGTATAAATAACAAAATATTTATTAAAAATTTGGACAATTAGACAACATTATTAAAATGCATATCTCGTTTATGTTAAAAGCGAAATTAGAATTTTTAAGTTCATAATTTGATGAACAAAAGTATGGGTAGTTATGAAATGAAGTCATAATAATATTGTTAAAAACAAAGGAAAATTTACATGCATCACACAATTCCTATTTGTTTACATATACACCACGTAAAGTTTCATATTTATATTTATAACACTCGGTGTCATAAATCTGCGCATGAAAATGTGTATTTCATTTTTAAAAAATTAGTAATAACTAAATCTGCGCATGAAAATGTGTATTTCATTTTTAATTAGTAATAATGACATACATATTTGATGGAATATTAAGGATTCGAGTGTTATGCAAATAAATATGAAAGTTTGGGGGTTACATGTTAAAATAAATAAGAATTGTGTGGTATGCATGTAAATGCCGTCAAAAGAGAATACATAAAACAATCGCAATCAACCGTTTACACAAGGAACAACATCATTTGACACAAAATTACAAAATGATGTAAAATAGGAAATTGCCCACCAAATTTCTGATGGCATAATAGTAATTTTTAGTCATAAATTTGTTGAAAGAAATAGGAAAAATTGTGTGTCAAATAAATGTCTGACTTCCCAACATTTTCTCATTACAAGAGAAATCCAAAAAAAGAAATTAAGCAGAAAATTATTTGGATAATTTTATATAACCAGTACTCATCATACCTGATGCAATGCAATTATGAAGAACTTACTAACATTATTAATTGGTTGACAAAGTGAAGTTGTGAACACTTGCCATTTTCTGTGGTATGAAAATCAGAAAAAGAGAATACATGCAGTACATCATATATAATTATAATTGGTATAATTACATACAGAGCACACGAAACATTGTTATTTACAAATCAAGTATACGGGTGATTTTTAGAACTACCGAACCGATGCATTTACGTGTGCCACGATCAAATCATTGAGAATTTGATACAGAGCACCCGCAACTGAATTTTGATATTTGAGTGAGAATTTGATACAGAGCACCCGAAACAGAATTTTGATATTTGAGTGAGAATTTGAAAAATGGATGAAAGAGAGTGCTTGATTTGTAAATGACAATGTTTCGGGTGCTCGACTTAATGATGTAAATTCTTCAGCAATAACATAACTTATTATTGTGCAGCGACCAACTTTAATCAGTGAATAATCAAAATTCATGTGAAATGTGCTAAATTTGCCGATTATAAGTGTAAGAAATATCCAAGTAATACCAAACAATTCCAATGTATTTATATATCCAACACCTAAACCTTGTTTTTTATAATTAGACCAACCAAATCTTTCATATCAACTAAAAAATACCACTATTTTAATTTTTTAAAATAGAAATACACCTTTTTCATGCATATGTAAGATGAAATGTATGTAAAAATTAAAGTTTAGGTGTTAGATATGTAAATAAATAAGAATTGTGTGGCATGCATATAAATCTTCCAGTTTTATTTAATGAATATAGGAAAAGTATCAAACTTCTCCACCAACAGATAAATCAAAACCCCAACCATAAATTAAATTCAGTGCAATGCAAATCGATAGCAGAGTATGAGGTAGTATTGAAATCAAATTTTCTAGTTAAATGGCTTTCATTTCCAAACATAAAAGTAGCAGCTTACATTGACAAACCGCGACTTTTATGCCTCTAATCATAACATGAATCCAAAGTTCCCTCAAATTTATTATTTGGAAAAGATGGTTAAACGATACTGTTTCTCAAAATAGCATGTATTAAACAAACTCAGTAAATAATGAACAGGATTATAAGTTTGTAAACTCACATTTGTTCTCTTGCTTTCTTTCGTGCCATGAAACGCTCTCTGGCGGCAACAACTGCATCCTCACTTCTCTTGAATCGATCAGAATCAATTTTACTTCCCGTTGCCTTATCTGCTTTCGTATCTTCGGAGTCTTCATTGAATAATTCTTTGATATTATTTTGATCCGAAGGAATCTGTTTCCTATCAACATCTGATGTTGTTGCAGCTACTTTGATTTCGTCTTTTGGAACCTTAAAAACTGGATCAGATGAGGACGCAGGACCAGCAAAGTCTTCAGAAAAGCCAGAAGCCTTTTTAGGACGGATGGATGTTTCAGCATTTGATGGGCTGCCTTCAGTTTTTTCAACAGCAATGCTTATTGTTTGCCCTTTGGTTGGTTTTGAAGCATGTGCTGATTGGGCTCCAAAAGCAACGTTCTTGTTGAGGCTAAAGTAGAAGTCAGTCAGATCACTCTTCTTTGTAACCTGGAATAAGTAGGAGAGAGATGATAATGGCATTTACAAACAATCCAATAAATCACTGAAAGCAAGGCTATCAATGCTAAGTTTTAATCATGTAAATAAGTATGACAACAAAAACATTTTACTATTTTATTTAAGTAGCTTGCATAAGTAGAGTGTGGTTACTCACCAGCGAGTGAATCATAGAGTGCTGTGAATCTTAACAAAGGTGAGCACAGAAATCAATTTTGTCTCTGAACTCTATTAATAGGGGTTAAAACAATCCTTTTTGGGACTGTTTCAGCCCGCTCTCTCTCTCTCTCTCTCTCTATATATATATATATATGTATGTATGCATGTGTGTGTGTATGTTTTTTTATTTTATTTTATTTTTTTAAGGAATGGTCATAGGCTCTTATACGAGCCTCCAACCACCCCTAATGTGCCTAACAATTCGAGTACCATCTCCTTAAGGCCAACTGTGCAAGAGGGGATTTAAACCCCCGACTTGAGTGGTCTTATATAGTGGATGCCAACCAACAGGCGAGGTACATGGCGCACACACATACACATATATATGTGCCGCGTACTCAGATCAGTTGGTCGAACATCTTCATGTCAGTTGTAAGTCCCCTCAGGTCTGAGGATCGATCCCCGGTCGGGCATCTGCTTTTCAGTTGTAAGCCCCCTCTGGCTTAGGGTTAGATCACCCGCGGTAGAGGGTGTGGTACTCAAATTGTTAGGGTCATCGGAGATATTCGGAGCTTATCTAATAGCCTCAGGTCATTCCTTTATATATATATATATAATATATATAATGGCACAGTCGTCGCTCAAACTCTGCTAGGATTTCGCCTCTATGGCGAACCCTAGTTTTTCCTCCTTTGCATTTCTCTTCGTCATGCGTCGCTCTTGTCGCTTTCGTCCTCGTCCTCATCCCGACAAGGCTACTCTGTGGTCGTAGGTTTCGTGTTGTGTCGGCTCTGCTTCTGCGGCGTCCGTGCTCATAGAAGACCAAATTTGACGTGGCTGCTCGGTCCAGACCAGAATCGCGGTTGCTCAGTCCCGACCAGAATCGCGGCTCGTTAGACGCGGCTGCTCGGTCGTGCATCTCTCTCTGAAGGAACGCGACTGCTCAATCGTGTGTCTCTCTTTGTGGTTTGAAAGAGTTTCCCGTGGATTCCTTTTGGCGTTTGCTCTTTCCTCCAGTGCACTTTCACTGTTCCTTACGTCGCGCCTCCTTCTATTAGTGGATGACTTTGGACAAATCATATGCAGCTGTCCTTGCCGGTGTCCAAGCTTCAGGCACACCATAATCATCATCTTTCCCTCCTTCGTTTGAGTGAGCGGAAAACATCAAGAAACCTGGTAGGAAGAATGGTAAGTCTGTCATTTTTTTTACAAAAGCTGAAAATATTCAACTTGCTTCCTCCTGTCGTTTAAATTTGGTCGGAAAATTTATGTATGGTCATCTCAAAATGGAGGTTATTCGTAACTAATTTAAGCTTATGCACCTTGTCGGGGAGTGAAAAATTGGACTCTTAAATGGAACACATTCTTATTCAACTTAATAATGAAGAGGATTACACACGCTTATTTGATAAAAAAATAATCTGGATTGACAACAGAGCAATGAAGATTCTGAAATGGTACGGAATAACCAATCGTTTCAGTTTGGATTCGACTCTCTAATTTGAAATTTCATTATTTTACTTAAAAAATATTGTATTTTATTGTCTCAGCTTATGGTAAACCACTCAAAACGAACATTCCTAATTTTAATCTTTATTGTCCATCTGAAGCCAGACTACTTGTTGAAAGAGATCACTTCATCCACTTCTAAGAAAATTTGGTTGGGCACACAACACCATGGATATCGGCAAAAGGTAGTGATTGAGTCTTTCCTTTGTATTGTTCGAACTATCGTATGTTCGCCCACTCAAGTTCTCAATGTCATCATCTACACCCCCACCTCAGACCAAATAAGCAAAGTGCTGCGTCAGAGGTAGTGAATCCATCTCCTCCTGATTATCTTCATGTTATTGACACTATTGATCATCAAAATGATACCCCTGAAGACGTCATTATCCTCGCAGTCAATATGTCAACCATTCAGTCTCCACACAATGTTGTAGTTCCCCCGTCTTTGGAACCTCCTATCGTGGGGGCGAGAGAGACTCTTCAGACCCCACCTGCCCTAGAACCTATCACTGATATTACAGGTGACAATACTTCTACTACTTCACTGTCCAGTCAGATGTTAATGTTACTCAGGCTTATGGGGATCATGATGCGCAACAACCTACACCTGATCGACCACCTTTGAACCAATCGATTGATCAAATGAGTCAATCCTCGGATGAGGAATGACAAGTCTACACATCCAGGAGGAAGAAGAAGAATGAAGACTTAGTTGAGCTCAGGAATCTGATGGATGATACTTTGGTTACTTCGGGTAATAGTATACACCTTATCAATTTGTTAGTCGTCTCACTTCTGAGAACTAGAGGCAGATGAAGGACTAAAGTGAGATGTCTCTAGCACTTTTGCGCCCGTTGGTGACTTTTTGGTTTTTTATCTTTATGTATCTTTGCTTTATTTGAGATTTTGTGTGTGTTATATTGTGAGAGGTGGGTCTTCTTTTAAACCCTCACATACAACATATCTGTACATTTTCCTCTTTAATATATTAGCCCTTGGGCTTGTTATAAAATATATATATATATATATATAATATCATAATAGACCCATGTATAAGTTTAACGAACATTATGTTTTCCAATTTTTAAGCTTGGATTGAATAAGCTCCATTGTCGGCAAAAAACTAAAAACAATAATTCCAACCTAATATTTTTTTTTTCTTTTTTTAGTTGAGAATGGCTAGTTAAGACTTGATGAATAACTCTGCAAAAAGGGCATTAAGATTATCCATTAATTAGAAACACATGCAGATATATCCTGAATACCACGTGGAATTCAGTATAATGGTATATATATCCATCTATAAATATTATTCACCACAACAGAACAGCATGCCTGATTAAACAGCACATAAATCAAATAAGTAAATTGCAAGAACATAATAGGTATTAAAAGAGAGCTGTACAACATACATCCTCTTTCTCCTCACGGAGTCCGCGCAATCTTTCCTCTTCCAACCACTTTGTACGTTCACCAAGCTTCTGTTTGTATGCGCTCGTAACAAACTTTTCCTTGTCTTCATAGATATGATCATCTTTACTTCTCTCTTTCAATAATTTCCTCTCATATATTATTTCGTGTTCTCGCTCACGCTTTTTCACAGTTTCAATGATTGAGGTTATATATTTTGGCTGCAATCAAGAAAAAAATCATGAGGAATGAATGACATTAACCTTGGAACAGAAGGTGTCTTTCACTTGAAATATTAACTTCACACGATCAAAGGAAATATGGTATACGAACAAGAACTATATTTTAAATTTTATGTAATTGAAAAGTTATGTATTATTTATGTATAATAGATGGTCTAATAGATGGTCTAAAAGATGGTCTAAAAGAAGTGACCATGAAGTTCAAATATTATATTTAAAGTTTAAACAACATAATACACAGGGGTTTTTACATACACGGCACTAAAAACTTAACATTTTAAACATGAAATAAGAACTTTAAACTCATAAATATGCACAGAAAACACACTCCCATCTCCTCAGTTTCTTTCTCGGTCAACTCTTCCCGCAGGAAGTCTGACAAAGCTGCCGGAGACAGTGCTAGATGCTGTGCGGCTAATCAGTAGAGGGGAAACAGCGGGCTCACTGTGGAGAAGGCAGCGACAAGAAGGCTTTCTCCTCCGTATTCGGCTATCTACTCGGCAACGACATATTCAACATGGAAGGAGATGCCTTGTTGCGAAAGTCGGCCATCGTCTTCTCCTCCTCTCTTCAATCTCCGGTGCCGGCGATCCCTTCAACCGCGGTGAGTGGTGGTGGGCACACCGATTCCGTGGAAAGGGAAGCGAGTTTGGGAGGAGGGAAACGGAGTGGTTATTCCCCTTTCTGTCGCTGCTTTTCCAAAGGAGAAATAAGGGAGTTTCGAAGGTCTTATCATGCCCCCGATTGACTATTGAAAAATTTCTAATCTGGAATAAACACTCGTTGAAAATTTTCTTAGCTGGGTGAAAGAAGGGTTTATTTTAAAAAGTTTTCAACAGTCAATCAGAGGAGAAAGAAGGGAGTTTTGAAGGTCTTATTATTCCGCCACGTTTCCGTCGCTGCATTTCCGCTTTCCCGTCCAGCGAGTCTGTGCGAGATGGTTTAACACTGTTAATGCAGGTGCTTATTCTGTAAATATCAATGTTTAGATGTGATATATGTAAAATCATATGTTTTGAGTTTTGTGTATGTAAACCACCACTAAAACAAATTAGAGTATGTAGCTTCCATAACATAAGGTTAATCTAGTCTTCATTGCTATTTATTTCACATTCTTAATCACCAACACTCTATAAGTCATTAGATGTGATATATGTAAAATCATATGTTTTGAGTGTTGTGCATGTAAACCACCACTAAAACAAATTAGAGTATGTAGCTTCCATAACATAAGGTTAATCTAGTCTTCACTGCTATTTATTTCACATTCTTAATCACCAACACTCTATAAGTCATTAGATTTACAATTCTTCATCTAATAATATAACGGTGTATGCTTTAAAAATAACTGAATAGATTTGCATCACAAAAATGTGATTGCTTAACTTAGCTGTGCCTTAATCATAATGTCCAACTGAGAAGTTTTTAGAGCACTAGAGCCGAGCCTAGCCTAACCTAGAGACAAGGACCAACAACCATTTCAAAGCATGAAGGCAATGAATCATTTGAGAAAAGTGGACCCTCAAATCAAATTTGTGTCAGGAAATCCTCTCTCTTAATAAAATAAAAAAGTCCTCAGAGAAAATTCATTGATGAACTTTTCATTCCCTATGGGGAAAGTTACGGTGTTGAAGCATTTTAAATGCAGCCTAAATTCGTGTTACATCAATTTTCTCTCAGATCAAATGCCTAAATGCTCCACTTAAATGTTGTTGCATAGCTATTTCAAGTCACTAAGTCGATGAAATTAAAATATTCTTTAAGCTTGTATACAACCAAGAAGAATCAATCTCATCATGCACAGTATAAATAAAATATTGTAGAAATATGAGCAAATGTCAATATAGCAGAAAATTATTACTTTATTTTCTACTTTAGAAGACAGTAATTCGTAAATTCTATTCATGTTTGTCCAGTTTGTAAGTGTAAGTTGCAATTAACATAAAGCTTCAAAAAACACAAATAATACCCATAATCAATTATGTATACATTAATCTCAAGGTTAATTAAATAAGCAAGATATTTATAACATTACCTCCCTCTTGGACTGGTCCTGAACCCGAACACAAGCAGCACTGGATTTCATCTCATCATACACCCCATCATAATCAAAAGCCATTGGGTCCTCCTCCAGAGTCTTTTTTTGCTGTTCATCTATCTAAAAAATTCAAAACACAAGCCAACATGAAAAAGGCACATCTTCAGCTATTACCTCAGAACAACAAAGCTATTATAGATAAAAAAAAAGGAAAATTTACAGACGCAGCACAAAATTCTTATGAATTTACATATCTCACACCTAAACTTCAATATCTACACAAAAACAATAAAAGTGTAAGGAAATATTCAGGAGTTACCATTTGAAGGGCCCTGCTCTTGGGCGCTTGGCGAGAGATCCCCTTTGTGAGATCGTCATCATCATCATCACCACCAAAAATGGAAGCTGGAAGTCGAACGGGTGGCTTCGATGTCATCTTCTTCTGCTGATCAGGAGGAAACCGAAGCTGCAGGCCATATTTCTTCATCCTCTAGGCCCCTACTTGTTTTACCTGCGAAGGTGAGAAATTACACCATATATAGCGTACCTGCCAACAAGTTTAACCATAAAAAACAGCTTGATTTAATAATTCACAGTTCAAAATTGATAAGAAATGAAAAAAAAAGTAATTAATAAGCTGATAACATTAAGCTCATAACGGATAATTTAAAAAATGTAATATTAAACTCACTCAAATGTAATTAATAATAACAAAAAAAAAAACGCATGCAGATAAATAAGCTGATAACATTAAGCACATTTTGATAGCTTAGCAAGGATATAGAAGTTAAAGCTATAATGAGATTTAGTGATATGGAAGTCAATAGGCAGAAAATAAGGGATAAAGAAAAAAATACAAAGAAACTTTCAAAAGAAAGGTAGATTGAAACGGATAATTTAAAAAAGGTGCTAAGTCTTGATTAGAATGATAACAAAGACACTAAGAAATTAAGCATTTTGACTACATTTTCTCAACATAAATAAACTTAGATACAAGTTCAAAAAAGGCCAGACCTTAATGTATAAAGCTGTCACTCTGAATTTTTTTGCTATCTCTGCAAAAATAGAAAGCCAACTACTGAAAATTAAGCAGATGGGTTATTCGGGATTTAAAAGTTTAGAGATGAAATACCAGAGCAAGAAGTAGAAGGAAATTTAATAAGAAGCCATGTTGAGAGATTGGGAGTAACTTTTGGGTAGATTAGTATGCCAGAGACTGTGCCAACTCGAGTGATCAGTAAATTAAAAACATTTGGGGATTGTCATGAACTACTGAAGTTGTTCTCAGAATTTGAGAAAAGAGAGATTTCACAACAAAAAAGAAAGTGCCTAATAAAGCTAGGATGGAAGGCTTGAATTAGAAAGTGCCAAAGCAAATAGGACAAAGACATGAACTGAAGCAAAAGGAAGATCTCACTAATTAAGAGCATACTATTATTAACGACTTGTATTTTGAATAAACCATCCTATGCGATTCCATGCTATTGCTCACTTGAACTTTTAGGAGCAAGGGGAGAAATAAATAAATAAATAGCTGAATAAAATAAAATACAAATAAGCTCGAAATATTTCATTGATAAGACTACAATCACATTTTTGCAATTTAACCAATAAGAATCGTACCACAAAAAAAAAAACAAAACAAAACAAGTAAAATTGTTGATGTAAAAAGTTACATATTGCTGAACCCAGAAACATTTGTGGTCTCATACCATCCAGACAGGGCTTGTAAGAGAAGGGAAAAAGAAGAAAATGATCTCTTGGTTGACAGAAAAGCCACTTATTTATAAGTTTCCAAGTGCTCATACCCGAGGGTGGCTACACAAATGACCATACAAGAGAAAGACCCAGGCAGCTCGGGTCATCAAGAGATCTGATACTACCTCGGTAAGTGTGGCCTATGTTGCTACAAGGACATGAGGCGGATTGAAGTGATCCTGTCCTTCTTGCCAAGCTAGTGTTAATTACGACCATTATCAAATTAAGGCGAATTAGCAGAGATTGCCAAGTTGATATCTCATTTAGGCCTGAGAACTCTTTGAAAATACTCTAAATATTTTCATTCCCTTCACGTGTCTAGTATGATCTTATATCCCGTTGGACCGTAGACAATTATTGATATATATATATAT